GTAGCAGAAGAAATCGGCCTTTGACACTCGCTCAGACCGTACCCCTTACCGTAATCGTGAACGCCTAATTGGTGCGCTGGTAAGTCTAGTAGATCAGATTTTGTTAGAAGCTATATAACTGTTGGTTACCGCATTACAAGTCCTCTTTTTACTCGATAAAATTGTTTGTTTCAATGTAAAATTCGAAACTAAACTCTAACCCGTACCGTACTTTCTACAGAACTTCCTACCAATCTGTGCGCCGGAAGTACTAGAAATTTGAGAATTTTTTCTGTACTATTGTTAATTGCGTTGCTTTTGAAGCAAAGTTTCTTCTTAATGACTTTTTTCTTCAAGAGTTCATTACAAATTATTAAAAAAACCTGAAAGCGACTGAACAAACAAAATCCAGCGACACTATATGAACGTAAACATTAGTACAGTACAATACAATGGAACATGATTATGTAAATAAAGTAGTAGAGGCGCGCTCACATTATTCACACTTTTTTGTTGGTATGTGGCCGTATTGATACAATATCACAATAGATGGCCGAATTCGTTAAAATTTCAGCTGCCATTCTTCCCCATTTTTCAAAGGAAGACCAGTGTTTTTTCGATCACAGTAGGCTTTGTCTTCAATTACCATTGTTTTCCACAAATGTTCACTCAAAGCATAGTTGTTTTTGGAAGATTTACATGAAAACACTCTATCAACAATCCTGATAAGCTATGTCTGCGTGTATTTATGAAAAATGTGGGAGAACTCTACCAGTGGTCTTGGTTAGATACCGAAGGCTGAAAATTATTTCCGTGTCCCACAATATTAGCTAGTAAGCCGTCAAAAATCTTTTTCCAAAATTTTATAGAGTTTTTAAAATGATACCAAAAGTCGTAACGGAATGGGGAAAAAGAAAGATGTTACCAGGTTTCGGACCTGTGCTGCACATGGTGCATCACTCTTTTCGCTATCGTGATACACATGGAATAGCGCGCATATTTTTTTGTTGGCCCAAGAGTATAGAAGAAGGTTGTCTTATATGATGGTATCATAGGGTAAAGTATGAGATTTGAATTTCAAATGCAGATCATTCATTTTGCACTTTTTGACACTGGATTTCAGATTTGGTTTGGTGAAAAAACCAGTTTTTGTATGAACAGTCTCATTGTTCATCTCTATCAGAACTGTTTTTTGAGAACTACAATATTTATTCTGTATTTCATTGTGCGGTATTTTTCATAAACGAACTGTAAATCGCACATTCTTATTGCCAATCGACCCTCGTCCCCTTCCCCCTCCCCGAAATGTTACATATCCTGGTCTTGTCCTTTTTTACCTCGTCTTGCAAAACGTCTCAGCGCAACTGTGGCTGCTCGTCTCGGTGACGGCGGAGGTAAGCGTATTTGTGCTCGGCCGACGTTGATCTGCTCGTCCAGTTCCTTCCTGAGCAGCTTGGCTGGACCGGCTCTGGACACAGGCGTCGATTTCTTGCACTTTCCCAAGCCATCGAAACTTCGCCAAAGTCTGTTCATCAAACACACTACGGGTGCTCCCACAATAATCTCCAATGTGTTTGATTCCGGCAGGTCCTGGGAATTTCTTCAAATTCTTTGGGGGCGGGGCTAATGTGGGGCTCCTAAATTTGGGGCGCGCTTGCAAAACTTTTTTGCGATTTCTAAGCCTCTGAAGCGGGTGCTGCTTCCCTCTTGCTACCTTCCATCCCGCTCCCTCCCCGCCCCCTTCCGTCTACTTCTGGCCTATTTTTT